TTCCACAGCTGTTCGTATGCCTTTCCAAGCAGCATCTGTGTCAGTCTTGTTTACAGAACTGCCTAGATGTGAACTCAGTTGTTTCTGGAATTCGCATTTGGCTTTCTCATCCTCCAGTTCGATCCTAATAGGTCTTCTTAGTGTACTTTTCCTGCGCCCATTGAGGCGCAGACAAATGCGCGCTCGTATTAAAGCGTGATCAGAGTCTAAACAAGTATTCCAATACGAGCGACAATCTTCTATTGAGCCTCTCCAACGATGACTGATGACAATATGGTCTATTTGAGTCCATCGTTGGTTTGGTGCAGGCGGTCGCCATGTTAGACGATGTCTCTCCTTATGTTTAAAATTAGTGCTTGCTAAAAATAAACGATTGTCTGAGCATAGTTGCAACAGACGATCACCATTATCGGTTCGTTGAGCCGGAATACTAGAACACCCACCTAAATGTCTTTCTGTTTGATTTAAGCTGCCTACCTGGGCATTAAAGTCACCCGCTATGAGTACTATGTCTGAGCGCTTAGCTTTCTGAAGAAGCTCAGAGAGCTTTCTGTAAAAGTCATCTTTCATTTCATCATGGCTGCAGTCGGTGGGAGCGTAGGCAGAAACGACGTGTGTCCCTATCCTTCCGAGTTCTTACAGAACCATTCAGCCGGACAGCACACAGGCGACTGTTAACGGGGATCCATTTTAATAGTGCCTGTTCTGCCCTTGTACTTAGTGCTATGCCTACACCTGCAAGTCCGCGAGAACTAGCCAACGGGTCGCCAGATACACGGAGGGTGTATTTCGTTGGTTGTCCATTTTGGCGAGGTGAGGTCAAGTGAATGATCACACTGGGATCCTGTATGCGTGTTTCGGAGACACAGCATACATCAATGGTACGAGATTCTAGGGTCTTAGCTAAGGAGGCCTGTTGACCGATTTGGCATAGGGTACGTACGTTGAAGGCTCCAATGTGTAGTTTGGAGCGAGGTTTAAGTAGATCTGGGACAGCGTTTCGCGCACTAGAATCGTTGGCCATGGTGACACTTGAGGAGGAAACCGGAACAGGAAGTTTAGTGTTGAAAATCAAGGTAGAAGGAATAGTAGGGATTGAAGAAGGAGATTGATTATGAATACGGTGGTCTTGAGTGCTGTTAGAGGTATGAGGGCAGTTATCACTACCCGGTTGCCCACACCGTGGGAGGGTTCTCCTGGGGGTATCTGAAAAGGAAATTGGGTTAGAAGTGGTCTTAATGACCTGAGAGCGTGACCGCAGTGCCCAAGGGACAACTGCTTGAGGTCGGTCACACACGACCTTTTTGTGGGTAGTTTTTGTGTTAGCTTCGTTCTTCAAAAAAAACCTTACCGCCGGAGACGGATATCCGTGGGATAAGGCGAGGTGTGCATTTTTAGGGCCGACCTTTTCTAACCCCACCCCTCCTTGTGGGAAGGCAGCATCGCTGTTATGCTGGTTGTCTGAAGGAAACACCTTACTGCTGCCACACCTCTGTACAGTCGACAGTACGACTTCGCCTTCGGACCTTGGGTTTGCTGCTTTTAGTCTCACCGCTCTTCAACCGACCTGTCTGGCATGGTAGGACCTTGAGGAACGATTGTTCCAGCCAGCATAGCTCGATTGCTTCATCACGATAGGCAAGCCCGACCACCACGTCAAGGTAGCAGCAACGGTATAATGTTTTGAAATCTTCCTTAATCTCTTAGCTTATATCTACCGCTTTCCTGTAAATTCCCTTCAGGAATGTATACATATATAGAATCTTGGAGAAAATGATGTTTTTGATGGTATTTAAAAGAGTCATTCATTGTCACTTACATCAGTGACTGCAGTATTTCACTATGCATAGAGTTCATTCAGCACTCACATATCACTGTCCACATCAGACCAGTAACATGTAGATACTCCTGACGTGCGTAAATATTCATTCAGACTTGGGTATCATAACTTCATATAAACACTTGGTTTTCGACACTATGTATCTAGTTTGTCGAACGTGATTTGTTTGAATCGAACCATAGAGGCTAACAGTAGTGTGTGGCGTAGTACATCAATCTGTACATAAATAATGAGCAATATATTTAATTTTATACTTCACCTTCATATATATACTAAGTAGATAAGGGATCAGAAGCAGTTACCTCAAACGATGATCCACTTCATTATATGCCTTATATTCCAATCATCTGAAAATGAGCCGACATCACTATTCATGATTACTATAGTATCTGTTTATAACAGACTGACAAATTTTCCTTAACCGGCGGGCAAATCTCATGCAACATTTCTGAAGACAATTAATTAGGAAACCAGATACAGATAGAAATTTTACTGTTCACAAATTTAAATTTACTTATCCATCGTAGTTTCCATTTTACACTGAAGAATACATCACTGTGAATGAATTGTATTTAACCTATTCATTTGACAAAGATCTTAGACAAGATTGTATTTTACTCAAAATTATACTTTACGTAGATATCCCATTTCGGTAGATACCTTATCCGAGTGTTATGCGATTCGCTCCTATGTTTTTTTTACAACAAATTCATCTATTAATTTTAGATAAAACATTTACAGTAGTGCAATTCACAATCCAGTATCTTTACCCTACTGTTTCTGTGACAGACATTTTAACTATTTAAAAGTTTACTCTCATCACTGTTTTCTACATGGAAATATTTAGTAGGTAAACATTTACTCATATAAATCACAAAAATGTATCATGATATACAATCGCATCTTATTCATTTCATACTGACTGACAGACCACCCTGATAAATATGTACAATTGGATTTCTACGAAATTTGTCTATTAGCGAAAGAAATTTTGAACGGTAGCACACTCGCCTAAATTCACACAAACATATCGTCAACTTAGTTTGATTTCTAAAAAACGTAAGCACCAATGTTAATGATATAAGCTAAATGACTGTCGATCTCTTGAGTTTACAGATTACAAATATTATGATTTACTAGTTATGTACAGACTTACACATACAACACACACTCATAAATCTACACATTGATGCGGTATACTTATACATTTCTATCACTATGTCGAAAACACTAAAATTCAGAGGAAGAGAGAACTTACCGGTATATATGTCAATTAGTTGAAGTAGTAGTAGTACTACTACGGCTGTTCTTATCACTCGTAGTAATGAAAAGAAAGAGTTATTTTTTATTGACATATAACGCATATTTTTAATGTTAGTTAACTTTATTGCAGAAGCGTTCAATCTGTTGAAAATAAATGATTTGTAATAAATTCATATCAAAATAAACTCTTGAAGATAATAAAACCACATCTGGAGTATGAGAATTTTTGATGACATTGTAGTAAACGAGGAACTCAGGTGGGAAAGACCAATTTATTGTTTAGTGCAAAGTTACAGAGCATTTTCATAAAATATGAACATCATGTATTAAATGCACCATTTGAACCTCTCTCATCAGTTGGCGCTTATAAAACCTCATCGTTCCTTTATTCCTCTTGTTATTTTGACGGTTTACAGTTCTCTTCTCTTCATTTAAATCTTATCAATCTCCTCTCAGACATTCCACTTCTCAGTGTTGCTTCATACTACTTGTATATATCAACATAAGTAACATAGACCACAATGTCATTTGATTGACTAAATAAAAATAGATAAATTGGAGATGGATCCTTTAGACTAGTTGCTGACAGTCAAACATGGTGACCACTAATTCATCACTTCAGTTCTATTGATCATTAAGATCCATTCTATGTCTGGTGAAAACTTGAGTAAGGAAATAAAATCAATAGCTTCAGTAATATTTGTTGATAACATGTTTGATGCAAGTTATTAGTTTCAAATGTGTTGTTGGTCAGAAGAATTCTGTCTATCAATGTGTAAGTTAGCACAGAACTAAAATAGTGGGGTTGGTGAATCAAGAAAGCTTTCTTTTCTATGGTATAATATATATACTTCTTATTCGTCACTCTTTTTTGCAACTACCCAAGATGTTATAGAGTAGATCATCATACACGATCAGCAATGATAACAAATGCATAGCCGTGTTTCTCAACCATGTTGTGAAATAAATTTAGCTACTGGACGATTGGTATTGAAAGTAATTTACTTACTATATAAAAATGTATATCATCATCTTTAAGTTCCACTGTCTGGGAATGGCTTACCGATGAAGAACTGGGTCAACAAAGACTCATACATATTATCAGTTTTAATCACTTTATATATGAATCCATGCTTTAGATTGAGAATAAACATCCAAGACAGAAGTGGGCATGTATTGTTAGACAACTGAAAGTCTCGAACCTAGATTTCATACTACTACTGTGTACATATTTGAATTATACCAGTTATGACTATTTATTGTAATAGCAGAAACTTAATTCAAGTCACTAGTAAGCCGACTTCTTTAGTTTAAACAGATAGATACATTCATATAAGTCTGTTTTGATAGCAATCATAATTAATAATCATCGTAACATAAAACTGTTAAATGCTTTTACACTATATAATATCAGATTAAATCTTAAATATATTTGTAAACAACAATTATCTGTTATCTATTTGATAAATTTTATTAACATGGGGTTGTGGAGCTTGCTGAGTTTAGATTGATATCATGTGTTCATAAGTGACTGGCTTCAAGAAGTATTTCTCGGCTCAGTAGTCTAGAGGTTAGGCACTGATGCGCAAGACAGAAGGCCCTGAGTTCGAATCTTAAGTGCGAGATCGTGGATGCTCACTTCTGAGGAGTCCCACACTAGGACAAAACAGCCATCCACTGCTTCCAGGTTTTCCATGATGGTCTAGCTTCAATTGACTGATGAATTCAACTATAAAATATTTTATTACTGAGATGAAGTTGATTAGTTTATCAACCCATGCAAAATTATTATTTTTATTATTTTAACACTCTTTTTTGTGATTAGTATGCACAACTCTAATGCATTTATCATAATTTATAGATAGTGTTGTTTTGGTTTGCTATTATGTTGAAATAGAGAATATGGAATAATGAAAAATTCAATGATTTAGATTGGTTCACATGTTTTGCAAATTCACATGAACGATGTAGCACTGATGTAAGTGATCAATTTTAAATATTCATTTAAATACATGAATGATTGTTTAATTTTTTTTGTTTTCAAATAAATAACAATACTTGTCTTATGCAATGTCATGTTTCATTATAGTAAAGTATTCTCAGTATTAACATATCCAGATCTTCGACACAGTTTCAGTTTTGTTGACTTTTAACTTCTGGATATTTATAAAAAAATATGTAGAATAAAGTTTTTAAACACTTATTAGTCGTGTGTATATTCATTTTGTTAATATTAACAAATGCTTGGTTCGACCGATAGTGAAGAGAGTCGGCTCTTCCTCTAAAAATGTTATCACATGGACACGTGCATACAATCAATGCCAGGGAAGTCCTATTCACTGCCTTCTCACCGCGGAGGTGTTGTTTACGAAATTGAGAGGACAAAAAGCGAATGTCCGGTGCTTTAATCAGGTTGGTGGATACGGAGGATCCACCTAAGGAAGCCGGAAAACCTTGTTTACGAATCAATAGTCTACATAGGCTCCAGGATCCTGAAGGAGTGGATGGCGTATGAACTTATTGTTGGTGACCTGCTACCATGAAACTGTAAATCTTGACGTTGCTCCACTGTCTTGTGGATTATACCTTCAGGTCAAAAGCTCGGGGAGTAGGCCCCTAAGAAAATCACGTGCTTCGGTTTTGGCAACCGGGCGGCATCACAGCACTCACGCAAATCGAATGATTTCTGTGGGGCATATATATCTGGTGCCTCCTTGTACCAATGTTTATGTGTTTAAATAAATAAATAAGTTAACGAATAATCTTACTTCCATGATATTCCCACCATATATATATATATATATATATATATATATATATATATATATATATATATATATATATATATATATATATAATGCGTCAGTTATTTTATCAACGACTCCATGTCAGCGATATATCATAATGACTAAAGGAAGATTTATATTAGATCAAGTATTAGATAAATTATACCATAATTTTTATAAAATTCATTATGTTTAGGTTTTCATTAGGATTGTCAACCAGATATGTGCAGTTTTATTACTAATATTTAACTGGATGCATCACCTATAAACTGTGGGTGTATATAGAGAAACGTTTTGCTCCTACTTAGGACTTTCGTATGCCTTATTTCCTCGACTAAGTGTTTATTTATAGGCTTCTCAGGATACCTTGTTCCTTTCAGATTAGTACACAATGCTTTTTTCTTCCTCAACCTCATTTGGGAAGCATATAGTCTTAATTCTGTATCTAAATGTCTTAATCGGGTTTCTTTTATATTGTATAGGAACAAAACTAGGAAAATTTGTATATTGGCTAGTCCAAGTTCTTTTCAAGTATCATCATAGTGACCCATCTACTTTTCTTGTGATAAAACATCTAGAAAGGCTGTTCTAAATCCAATTTCTTCCTCGCATGTGAAGTTAATAGATGGATTAGTTAGTTGGTCAGTTATTCCCTACCCCCAGTATAGTAAGAGAAGCGAAATAGCTATTCGGGAAAGCAGAAAAGCCTTGAAAAGAGAATGAGACTGAACACCGGAGACAGCATAGTAAACGTATTCATCTTAGTGTATTTAGGAATTATGATGTCAGTAGTGTGACGGATTAACCATTTGGTGGATACTAACACACTATAGAATTCACTACACTTTCCTATCAATTTCGGAAGCTTCTAATGAGGTATTAATGAATTCAGTGAAGAACGTGTAACTTTCTCCAAAGTATGCCGTGCATGCATATATTCGAATGCACATATCAGAAATGGATACATTCTGGTGATACATATATAGGCATAAATGGGCGCGGTTTTAGTATACGTTACATGAAATCACAGGATGGGCAGACACGTCCACTCACCCCTAATAAACGGACGAAATTCATCAAATCTTTTGAGTGTCTATACTCAATCAGTATCTTCATTATAAAGGATGAACGTATAAGTAATTGTTAATGTAATTAGTTTATTCCACAGGATTATTCACTTGGTATTTACAATCCACCTTTTCGAAACAATTAAGAAAAAACGGATATATAGAATCAATTCACATAGGATTTACATATTTTAACACTGATTAAGATTCTGTCCTCCATATTAACAAATGGATCATTTCATACCTTACTAATAATCATACAATGTTGTAAATGATGTATATAAAAACATTATGATTATTTTTTGAAGCAAACGTTTAAAAAAACACATAAAATCTGAAATTTTAATGAACAATTCTAATAGGATTTTTTCTAGACACATCACATTAGAGATAACTATTGGATATAATAACTAAACTGACAATTTAAGTCACAAGCTTTATAAGCAAGGATGGATAGTGGCTAGCAGTGGAATCCAGAACGTGTGTTTCCTTCTATTTATGACTCGTCATCTAGATGTACTTGCATCCCAGAGTTGATGTTCACTCCGAGACTCAAACCCATTACCGTCTACTTCAAACTCTATCACGTTATCCACTTAGCTACTGAGTACTGATAGTCACTCACTTGTGCAATCGAGTGAAGTTTAATTCACTCTGGGATGCAGATACATCCATCTGACGAGTCTCAAATAGAACGAGACACGCGTTCTGGATTTCGCTGTTAGTCACAATCCATCTCTGCCTTTGATGCTGCATCTGCTTACGATGCTCCACTGTCTTTGTGGATTATACCTTCAGGTCAAAGGGTCGAGATGTGGCCCCCTCAGAAAACCACCTGCTTCGGTCTGGGCACCCGGGCAGTATCATCGCCCCTCACACAATTAAATGAAATGACAATTTTTTGTGTGGCGCATATATATCTGGTGCCCCCTTGTACCAATATTTGTGTTCAAAGAAAATAAATAAATAATAATAGTATTAATACTTATGAATAGTATTACATGTAAAGCTTATCAGATGTGTTTAGCTTCATAGTTTACATCAAGGATTATTCTTAATGGGACAACCATTGAAGAGCAGGAAGGATTGGAAAACTGTGTGCTCCTACAAGTGAACTCTACTATAGTGAGTGATAATACAAGTAGGGACAATCGAAAGTAGATGAATACAGAAATACAGAATCTCTTAGTGAAATCTGAGAAAAATACAGTAAATTCTTCATTTGTATGATGTCACTTAATTGTCTTAGACTTCATTATTGCTTCATTTCCATATCAATCACTCTCTGTTCTCGTTCTCTTCTCTTCAATCTTATCAACCTTTCGCCTCCACACATTCCGCTTTCGATTGGTGTTACATACTATTTATATCTGTCAATGTCAGTACACACACCACAGTATAGACATTACTCCACTAGGTATCGAACACAGATCATTGAAGTCTTACTATGATTGCTTAACAGTTAGAACCACTAGATTTAGGTTTTACTGTATAATTTCAATTACAACACTTAAAATTTGAGACTAAACATGTTTATATACTTATATGTGTCTAACCTTGAGACTTTCAACAGGACAATCAACTATGCTTTCTAGTTTGATACAAAACATTCACCAAGTATCATTGCTTCCTACAATAAAATTTCTATTGTAAAGATAACCAGTTAGATTTTTGTCATCGAAATTTACTTTCATTGTTTTTTTGGAAACTTATTTCTTTTCCAGTGTTTCACAACTTGCGATCTACCTCCAACTGAATGTTTATCACATTGCTCGGTAAGTAAAATTAATATATTTTGAAGAGATCTCAACTTACCTGTATGAATTATATAAACGTCAAACTAAATCATTTGTGTGTATGTTTAATTAAATATTGGTTTGAAAAGTATACATGTAATCTTAATCAAGTATCAACACCCATTTAGTTGTCAGTGAATGCCGACATAAATCTCTTCACATTTTATCTGATTTATCACTCATTTCTAATCACGTGGATATTTTGTAATGCGACAGTGTTATTATGTTCGCTGAATTTCAGTTTAATTTTGCTTTGTGTTGTGATAATGAGGTTTTAAACAAATTGACGTTCCCAGTTAGGTAGTCGTGGGTACCCACTGCTGAGAATTTCCACGTCAAGAAGAAACCGCTGTCTAATTCTCTCAGGTGTTCACTGGTTGTCTAAATCGGGTCTGTTCGGGATCACAATAAAATTCAACAATCTACACAGCTCTATACTGATAATTTTAAAGACAAAAAGGAATGAACGACTTGCGATAAATAAAACAGTCAACAAATGTAGTCTACTACTACCAACGTGCATGGAGGACAACTCGCTGACTCGATCGAAGTAAAGACCGGTGTTACTTTCTGCTGGTGATGCATCTGCATCCCAGAGTAAATTAAACTTCACTCGATTGCACAAGTGAGTGACTATCAGTACTCAGTAGCTAAGTGGATAACGTGATGGAGTTTGAAGCGGACGGTACTGGGTTCGAAACGCACGTTCTGGATTCCACTGCTGGACACTATCCATCTTTGCTTGTATCACATTTGTTATCAGACTAACAATCATAAAATATTTGCAAAAAAATATGGACGAATGTTGACGAACTATGGTTGTAAAATGACTCTATTAGTAGTTTCTGATTAAGAATATTTGTTTATATAGACTGGTCATCCGACAAATTACTATTTTTGCACCCTCCTTTCCAGTTGTATTTGCGTACATGTATGTATACTACTGTTTTATATTGAGATCCAAATGAACTGGACTGTTTCATGTCCTTTTTTTAATTAAGTGCTGTCTGATCCCAGAAAGAGATGAACATACAAACACACATGTTTACTCTCCCTCTCTTTCTAAAACACATTGTGATCAACCAAGTCTAGTGGTCGGATCAGTATAATGATACATAAATATACAGAACAATTTTTATGGTTAATCGGACAAAAAATGTGAATTTTGTCGCTCGAAAATAACGTTATCCCAATAAGCAAACAAAGTTTCATCCAGGTCTATTCACTGACCTTGATAGACATTGTTCTTCTATAGTCTCTTTTTATTTCGTATTGTCTGCGTAGAGGTCAGTTTTACCAATCAACTTTCGTTTTGGTAAAACCTTAGTTTTTATTATTCCTATTCACAAGAAAATTTTATTGTTTTATTCAAGTCAATAAAAAACAGTGAACTGTTGTTGACTCGTTTAAACGAAACAATTGTAATTATTTTGAAAAAGAATGTTTTGTGAAGCGAGAAGAACTTTGTTTTTATGACAGTTTATTTAAATTTGAAACACTATTCAGCCATGAGATATATTACTATTGGCATCAACTGGCAATATCACAGAATGATCAAAATGAGACATGTAAACTATTTGTATATCAGGTCAATGATCTAACGGTTTAGCTCTTGTCATGAGACATAGATGTCATGAGTTCAATTTCCGTTGGTGTCTTAAATGTACATAACTGTGAACTCCCAAAGTAGTGGGAAAAAGGTACTTAGAGCTTCCTATGTATCAATAGGTCCTTTTTTCAGATCACTCCTTGGTGAAAATCATGAGATTACCTATTTTTTCATTGTATAATAGTAAGTATATCAAAATTCTATTGTTGTATTCAAATGTTAAGTGCTATGCGAAAAACAAACTAAGGAAATCCACTACTTGTATCATACATAGTATTATGGCTTAAAAACATCATAATAAACTGAATAATAACACCAAAGTATCTTTATAAGGGGTCGATATTGTCAATACAAATCAATCTGCATTGTTAAGCATACCTCGAATAAGGTGTAAGCTGTTTTTAACTCGGTTACAGGATGATAAACCGAAATTTTAACTAGTATGTTAAGAGGCAAGAATACCAACGGATATTAGGTGTTATCTACTTAATTAGTATTAAACTGAATGAAATACTAAACTGTCTACTGTTGCAAAGGTACAAGATATTTGGCTCACAGGTATAAGGTTAATACTTTCTAATCATAAAGTGTTGAGAGAATTGAGCTAATAATGAAGTCTCTTGAACCAATAATTAGTGATCGTTATCTTTATTGAGTTTCCGACAAAGTCTTTAGGTCACTTCTTTGTGGCATGTTTATGAATGATTTTCACTTATGTAAAATATTCTCCCTCAATTCATTGTATATCTGTATTTACCACCGTCTAGTAAATATCGTATCGTTAGCTGACAATGTCAGTATTATATTGATTCATTCTGAGATAAAAACTAAACATGTAACATGTGGCCGTTTGAAATTCACTATTAGGCATATTTTGTGTTTAGTTAAGTTTATAGTATAACCCAATCATTTTTCGAGAAATTTTTTTCACTACCAAATCGAGGACTGTATTTTTCAGGAACTTGAATGTTTTTTTTCTAGTATAGTATCTAAACTCCCTCGTTAGTGCGGTTATCTACATTTTAGCGTATGTAACTAATATATCATGATTAATCGGTTTACTGTCCTAACACGTACACAAGTATAATGTATATTATGACAAATATGCACCTCTCTGATTGAATATGGGTTTATTTTCTAAAGTATAAATCACGTTGATTGATTGTGTGAGAATGAATAAACTACTTACAAAGGCAATTATAGAGGTTTACAAACCTACGATTTAGTAGAAAAGTCAATTTGTCAAGTACCGACTTATTCACTTGGCCTTTAGTGGAGCTGGTTTTCTGTATAAAATTACTGTTAATAACCGAAATTTCCTTTTTTAATTAAATAAGGTGGGACAAAGTTAAAACTTGTGACCAATTGTTTGGCAGCTGAATGCCATAAATTCAAAGCCTCGTCTAGATTGAACTAGTAGCTAGTAATGAATGTTTAAACAACGACGCATGCCACCAATTTAGAACATATATAGTTCCAGTTTATCGCCTGTATAAGTGTTATTGCATGCATCCAATATCAATCACTAACCAGGTCAACTCTTGAACATATCCATGAATTCTCTTTCTCATGATATATGAAAATCTTGGTTTTGAATAAAAATAAAGGGAGTTCAATTACTCTTATGATAAATTGAAAAAAAAAGTTTAATTCCTGACAAACCTTATTACATTTTATTCATATGTATAACTTCATGGTATGTACATAGTTTTAGTGCAGATGTTAATTATGTAATATATATGTTTAATTCCTCGACCACATGATACAGTTCATGTCTATGGTGGTCTAACATCAGTTGATTCATGATCTGAATCAAAAGAGTTAACAATCTTCACAACCCCATACTGATCATGCTCAATTATTGAATAAGTACGGAAGTGTTACAACATTAAACGGTTATGTGTTACTTAAAAGAGGTGAAATTACGAATAGAGTTGCATACTTTATCATTACATAAAACATTATATGTGCTTGTGGGTGTTTATATGCCTAGAATCATGCGAAACTTTTAAATCTCAGTATAGGTTTGTGGCGATGGTTGAGTTTAAATTGATAACATGAATGGATGAATGTTAGACCGCCATTGAAAACCTGGAAATACTAGACAGTTTTTTCGTTCTAGTATGGAACTTCTGAGCAGTGGGTATCCACGATCCGCACACGGGACTCGAACCCAGGACCGTCAGTCTCGTAAGCGAACACTCAACTTCTAGACCACTGAGAATGCATTGATTGTTTAGTGTTCAATTGTATTTTTAAAACAATTTCAATGTTTCATTAATACAGATTTACACTTGTTCTATGTTACTGATTACGTCATAATCTCTGTTTCTTACCTCATGTTTGTATAAATAAAATATATAGAATCATAAAAAAATATTTATTGGATATGTACATGAATTCCTCGAAGGGAGTACTGTTTATTATAATATGATGATTATGAAGATAACTTATTAGCATGTTACGTGGTTGGTATTAATTAACAAAAATCTTCAGATCTATATTTCATGTTGGCTAACCGTCCTTTAAAAGGTTTATCTATAATGTAAAAGGAATTGATTTTCCATTTACACTTCTAAGTTGGAAAAATTTCTTAATTGCTTGTTAGGAAAACTCGAAATCGCATGCTAATTGTACACTATTTTTGACATTCTCTGTAAGCTGAAGTAGCTAAACCAAAACATCTCATAAGTGCACAAAGTAGTTGGTTTTTTTGTCTGAGCCATGCAAGGTAACTGTACAAACAAACTTGCCTAATGACTTACCGCTTGATGTCTTGCCAATATGTTGAGAACTCTTCTGAATCTTCATATTGAATGATATATATATATATATATATATATATATATATATACCTTTGAAAACCAACAACACGATATTGTTTTATTCAAAGACGTATACGAAGGATATTGGGTCAAGTGTATGTGGGTAATCTTTGTTTCCCTCTTTACTCAACAAAATAAGTTACTGTGAAGTTTATTTTGTACGGTAAATTGAATTACTAGTTATTATTTCATAATAATACTTATACACTATTTCACACGTATAAATTAGCAGATATATATATATATATATATATATATATATATATATATAACCGTAATGATACATGAAACATACTAACCAGAGTGGAAATCTGTTCATACCTTAAGGCTATTTTATTAACGGTTTACTTAACTTTTGTAATATGTTGATATTACTAAAATTGACCTGATTTTACATATTCTCATAATTAAAGTGTGAAAATTCTAAAAATTCTAATGATCTGTTTTCTCAAGATATTTCTATAACACACACACACACACACACTTGGGAAGTAAGTACCAGTAAACAAATTTTACGTTTATAATACAGAGATGCTGATAATAATATTAATGTTTGAAAGACCATGAAATCGACAATTGTTTCCAGTTGTAAATCGAATCTAATTTCAAACATAAAAAACAGTCAATGATTAACAGAACGTCTAGTTTAAGATGAGTACAATTATAACTCTGTCGATAGTGAACATAAAGTTAGTCAGTAAAATAGTCCCAAATGAATGTTTACCGACAGTTTCTTAGATCTAATGTGAACGGGATATTAAGATATCAGTAAGAGTTTCTAAACTCCTCATTCTTGATATTCAGAAGTGAGTCTTATCAATATCAGTCTGCAGTCTGTGTATGGTTCTGAGATTGAAACTTATTAATGTCAAGTACTTACAACCCTAGAATAAGACGGAGCTCGGAGATTCGCAGATCACACAATAAGCGCGGTACTATTCAGCTTCTAACTTCGAATCCAGTGACTAATATATCCAACCTTAATCAGTTTGTAATCTATTATGTTCTTGTGAGTTCCTGTGGTGAGTGGGGAACCTAAACTGAAATCGCTTGATCATCTAGTGCTCCTTCACTGTGAATGTTTGTTCAGATAACATCATTTCATGTTTGATTCTCGAAATCATTCCAGCTAATTTTTCAGAGCTATATGATGAAGAAAAGCAGTCAGATTACGATGTGCATCAAGGATCAGTGCTTATTGTAGAAGTGTTTCCTATAATTTTGTGGATTACTTATAATGTTTTTCTGAATCAGTTCATTGCTATATTGGGATCTTCGGTTAAGTTCCCATTTTATCAAGACTGTCACTACCAATTTACTTTTCCTTTCGATTCCCTGAATAAAGGAGTTTTCACAAACAGTAAGGAAAATTGAGATCTGACAACTGCGTATATCTTTTTGACAGTCCTGGGATTAAATTGTTCACTTCAAGAATAGTTTATTAAATATTAACACTTAAAAGAGAATTTGATATTTTCCACTTGAAATAAATCCACATAGACTTGATAAATATATATTTTAAAATTTCTCTCATGGGTATCAGATATCTCTTCCAATCATCAGTTGTCTACTATTGTTCAATAGAACAATAAAGTATTATCTTTATCAGTTAACTAAAACTGTTGAGATTTTTTTAATTATTAGACTGACAATAAATAAATAAAATCTTTTCTAGTCTTTTCATACTGTGATGATTAATTGGATACAATAAAATATTGAAAAAAGCACTTGTTTAGAATGATTAAATGTGAAATCAAATAGTGTAATGGAGTGTGTTTGCCCATCACAACACCAGTAAAAATAAACAATAAAGGGAATAAAAACTGATCATTTAATCAGAGATGGACTTCATTGATAATATGATTAAATAAATAAATTATAGGATTGTGAATTTTCACATATCAAAACTTTTATTTCAACTAGAAAAGAAATTTTCCCACAAAAAAAGTTTTTAAAATATCTAATCAGAATTTATTTTTAAAATCTGATCATTGGATAATTGAAAAGTTGTATGCATGAAAAATGAGGTAAATTATTATGAAATAGAAAGTAAAATATGTTTTGTTGATAAATTGTTTAGATTGTGGTTATATATTTTAAGAGTATTATTACATATCAGAAGGGGGATTTTTGTGGAGATTTTAGTAATTTTATAGTTGAAATCATGAGTCAGTTGAAGCTAGACCACCGTGGAAAACCTGGAAGCACTAGGCAGGCGTTTCGACCTATTGTGAGACTTCTCAGCAGTGAGCATCCACGATCCCGCCTCGCGAGATTCGAACATACGACCTATCAATCTCGCGCGCGAGCGCTTAACCACTGAGCCGGTATCCAACGGTGTTAATGTCTAACCTCAAAGAATTCACGAAATTGAGCCACCGTCCACCATTGTCTTCAATGAGTCACTATCTCGCAGCAGACCTGGTTGAACTCCACTGATCACTGCTTCTCACTAAAACTCCAGTGCTTCCAGGTTTCCCATGGAGGTCTAGCTTCAATTGACTCATGACTTCAACGATGAAATTACAAAAATCTCCACAAAACCCCCCTTCTGATAATGATCATATGCTCACTAGCGACTGGCTCCAAGAGATATTTCCTGGAGTTCTAGTGAGAAGCAGTGACCAGCAGAGTTCAACCGGGTCTGTTGGGAGATAATAACTCACTGAAGACAATGGTGGACGGTTGCTCAATTTCGTGTATTATTTGTATATATTTAAACTGATTGATTAACCAATCAATCCTACAGTCTATCAATTACGATTTGAGAAGTTTTGGTAATACCTGAAACTATAAAGCTGGTTTATTCAGGTTCGATATTTAGACGAGGGTATAATCAACTCAACATTCCAGATAAATCTTTCTTATTAGTGTAAACTAGGAACAAATTCAAACTAAATATAGCTTCTCGTTAACTCCCTCTTACCGACCTAATATTAAAGCCTAATCCATGAGATGTTAGAACACTCAGACTTGTAGCTAGTATTGATCTATGGAGAAGCATGGCTTGTGTCAATTATGGCTGGCTGGTCACTATGAATTAGCATTACAAAACTTTAATACACCTTCATATTAAACAACCTGCAAGTTTCGTACTGAGTACCGTTGTTGTCAAATGAGACTTCCTCGGATGAAGAAATTATACTTGTTTTTCTTGACGTCTCAGGAATGCACTATTTTTGTCATACATTACTAAAAGTTCTACATGTCGCAAACTGCTTCTAACTATGAAACTCTTAACGATATTTTATTCTAAATATAGAGCAATGAGCATATTAGTGCTCTTTGATTCTCAATGGTAGGGGAACCGAGGTCAATCTTTTATGATCTTCACTTATAAGCAATAAAATCAATATGTGCTTTTGACTATCAACATTCCTGTTGGTTTGCGTAAGCATCATGATAGTATTTTATGCTGTTGCTATGATAATCATGTTGTTTTTACGAAATATTGATAAGTGTAATCCAAGAGATATAGAATTATTTACATATAAACATTTCAATAACTTTTATAAACTTTCGAATTAATCTTCTTCAAACACACTTTAAGATCTATTTTCTTATTTCTGGTTACTGTATAAACTAAACTTGTATATCACTTAAATTGTTATAGTCTTCTAAAAATAATATCACAGTAGGAATTGTGAAATTTCCCGCTGATTTCCTATTTATTTTTATTTGTTTTGTTAATTCAATCACATGAGAAAAAATTTCTTAGAAATGAAGTTGGAAATGTGGATGTTAATTAATTTTAACATAATGATCATATTGTTAATGACAATTATAGATTTTCAAATAATTATGTAATTTGAAATATAAAACTAGGGATTAATATCAATAGGAATAAATTAAATTAAAAATCAGCCAAAAATTAAATAACTGATTTTTTTTTCTATTTAAGGAAATTTAATATATTATGCTTAAAACTATGGATTGTGCTAAATTTGAAAAATTCAGGATATAACAAAGTTAGATTATGATTAACAGTTGAATTTAGAAAATTTGTTTCGTCTTATCTGGGACTTATCAACTGGATATGTCTGATAAATCTTAGTGTTGATTTTAACACTGAAACTCGAACTCTGTCCCTATTGTTTCAAATTTTACCTTGTTCTTCACTAAGCTATAGAGTTCGGTTGAATATAAATTTGTGTAAATATTATTAAGTCACTTGTAGTTAGTTGGTTATTCAGTTTTGCTAAAACTTGCTATTAAATGGTAATATCGGGGCAGTCCATCAAGTTTGTACGTATCCCAAAGAGACGATTATTTTTGTCATGAATATAACAAGTATATGTAAGTTCTTCAATGAGAACTGAATCATTAGAGCAGTTAAGCTCAAAATTGAATTATTGATGTAGAAAATGTGTTTAAATCATTCATCAATAACTACTCGTATCCATTATATTATATATTCGAATTGAAAAATCAATTATGTTTCATCATCCAGTGGTCTACTAACTGATGTCAATCAGTGAAGAAATTAACAAGGTTTTAAATAAATATAGGAAAATATGTAGATGATAAATAAAGACAGGAAAGTTAATAAAAGCAGTTTCGATTTTGCAACTTAAAATTATACACAAGATGGTTGTTAAGCTGAGACATGAAACCAGTCAATGGAACTTATTAACTATTTATTGTGAATAGTCTTAGATTGTCTGTCTGTTATCATTGATGTTCATGTGGCAATGAGAATTTATGTATGGAGTTTACAATATTCGATCAGTGAGTAGTGACTAATCTAATATTTGTCTCATCCTTGGTGAGTATTGAATTCAGTCGACCAATTATCATGGTTGCTTGTAGTCCAGGTTATTAGATATCTCGAGCACTACTCAACAAATGTTGGCTGCTTAAATTCAGAAAACCTAACCTGACCGAGGTTTTTAGCTAATTATCACCAGTCAAACAGGTATACTTATAATATTGTGGGAGCTAGTGTTGCTTATGGTCAAAACGTGATCTGATCAGTAGTATCTATGTGTCACGATTCTGATTTATTGAAACAATCAATGTTGGAATTATGTACGACTAAAAGTTCCGTACAGAATATTCATTACGTCAAAACTTGATAATGTTAAACACATGATAGAACAATAATTCTAACTTTTTTCTTAAACTATGCATGGTTCATAATATAATTGAAACTTGAATTATGTTAAACAAAACGATCATCAAATATTCAAATGAGTGGTGCCATATTGATTTTTGACACTAAAGGTTCAATTCCTATTGAATTAACATTGAAGAAAGCCTAAGTAGGTTACTGGTGTTACTACTACATAACTGGTTGAGCAAAAAATAAACGTTCATGACATGAATCTTACGTTTTTTTTTCTCTATTAATTTTCCCAAAATTTCTCCTCTTTCACTTCAGGATAAAATAATTGGATGTCAAATTGGATGCTTTCTAATTAAGCAAACATGTGAAAATCAACCAGGTGAATGTAGTAATTCTAATTATTTAATGAATGATCTCAACCGTACACCATCAATTAATCAGAATAATCAAACACAATATAATGGACGAAAATATCCAGTGGTTAATGATTGTGCAAATAACTGTCAATTAGATTGTAAAGTTCCTCTTCAAACATGTTGTAAATATAAATGTCCCCAACTAAGTACAGATGTAAGTGATTTGGTTCGTTTCCTAAAAGTAGATTTTTCGTTAAAATATAAACTTGTCCCAATGTTTGTCGCCAAATATTGAATTACTTTTCAAATGCTCCCTCTGTGATCTACTTAGAATCAAAGCAGGGCATCAGTCCCCGAAGTTCATGATTATTTAACTAAGCTATGCTATTAGGTTCAGCCTACCGTCCATGGGACGACCGCCATCAGTGGTTGGAGACGTTGGATCAGATACCTAAGAATATATTGCGCTAGAATAAACGCATTCAACCCTTACTTTTTGTGAATGTTGAGTTCCGGTTTACTAGGAGTAATTCCGAATCTAGCCTCATTCAAGGATGTCTCCTGTGCTGTGTCAGTGTTCGGAAGGAAAACTCGAACTACATTTGATGGCATATACTCACGAGGAAGAAGACGAGACTATACACACAAGATGAATGAAACTGGACGTCAATTATGTATTGGACTACCAGTGTATGCACGAAACTCTCCACAATGAGGACCTTTTTGGGTAGCTCGTATTATCGTAAGCAGAGTCAGTGACGTGATGTACAAAATTGATGTTCGAGGTAAATGCCTGACACGACATGTAAACCACATCCTCTATAGTTGATTAAATTCGGAATTAAAATCGTCAAGCTCGAACTTGCCGCTAGATTATTTAATTGATACAGTCAGTTTGGAGCGACAAGATCAACGCAGAAGGAGTGATGGCTAAACCCTGAGGAGATCATCAGGAGGATGATATTTCACTTAAATCTTTCAGCAAAATCCAAGGATCAAGACTAATTTTTCTAAAGAAAAAAATGATGTGGTTAGTCAATCAGAAGTAGCCTAATGATCAACTTGTGGAACGGATACTTAAAATGTAACTTGATTTGTTACTGTTTTTAATTATAACACTATAAAACTAATTAACTACGTGATTGTAACTTTGTGATATATTAAGTGTATTTCATATGCCCTCGTTTTTACTTAGTCCATCTACAATAAACTTGTTCCACCTCGACCAATTCTTCTGAATTCCACCATATCTTCGACAAATGCGAATATTATTAAATTATCATGGTCTTCACAATATCAAAATATAACTAGCACAATGAATCCAATTGTGTTTATATTACAAATACGAATATGTAGTTGTCAAGTGTTTGATGAAAGTTATGCATCAACATGGAAAACATTAATTATGGTAAGTATTTGGTAACACTGCTGTGACATTTATAAACCTTTTCTACCATTCTTTTGAGTTCCTGTCAACAATTTACAAACTCTTAAGTGGATTGATTTAGTTTGAATTACTTGAAGCAATTCCAGTGTTCATCATTTGAAATTTTAACCGACCTGTGATAATGAATAGTGTGTAATACGAAGTTATATGTTAAAAATATTATTAATCTAATTTCTGTAGATGAGGGTTTAATTCAATAATAAATGGTTGTACGAAAGGCCGAACATCTGTCCAACTGAACACAATTTGCGGAAAATGTAATTTATGCCAATGTTTATTCTTCATGCATATATTGGTGTGTGTGTGTGTGTTTGACCTGTACACATTTTTTAGACTCATGAATTCGGGGCAAATCTTGAAGCATTTGAACCTGGACGATTGTATCAATTTCGTATTGCTGCTGTCAGTATTTATGGTACTAGAGGATTTGGTTTAGGCACAAACGCTTATCCTAGAGATCCAATCAGACCATCACCACCAGGACCACCTAGAAATGTAACCGATTCAATGTGGAGGTTATATCCATCTGGTAAGATAAATCTTCTACTAAAGTGGCAACCACCGGTACAAAGTGATCTACCGTTAACTGAATATTTGGTGAGTCGAAATTTACTTCCTCTGAATGTCTTAATAGTTTATCAATTTATAAGTGAAAATTGTTGAATATATCAACATGGTCTCTTAATCAATAATTCATTTCATCATTTATTTTCATTGTAGATAACTTGGTCTATTGATCATGGTTACTTACATACGGATGGACGAACACTAGAAGCTCTTATTCAGTTCACTCGAACTATTAATGCGGTAAGATAAACTTGCAAAAGTATGTTTTATTAGAGAGCTGATTTATTGTAAACTGAAAAGACATGCAACAGTAATATTCTATGCAATATCGGGATTGTGATTGCATAATGTATTTGAAAAAAACACAGCTAATCCTATGTAATTGCTTAGTTTGGAGGTTTAACGCGACAATTCAATTGGAAGATAGTGTTCATTGCAGCTCGATATTTAACAAAATACAAAATGAATCTAAACCTCACCTCATTGCACAAACAAATGGCAATCAGGTCTCAGGAGCTAAGTGGATATACGCGATGGCGTTTGAAATGAACGGTACTGGATTCGAGTCCCTGGGTGAACAACTCTGGAATGTAGGTACATCCAGCTGATAAGTCCCAAGTAGGATGAATCGCGTCTCCTACTAAACACCACCCATCTTTGTTTATAGATGATGATAGTTTATTAACAATTCAAATAAAGTTTTAGCACATCTTGAAAAATCTGCAGTATATTTGAGTAAATGAACCCTTTTTGATTTTCGCCGATTTAAATTTAGGAACGAACAGAATGTATTTTGGATAACTTAAAACCAGCAACTTCATACAAAATTCAAGTAAGTGATAATGTTATTTTAAATCATTCAGTATTGTAATTTTTCACCATATTTTATACGAGCAAAGATCATATACGCTGAATTATATGAAAATGTTGGTTCATGAGCATTTTGATCGGACTTAATGAAATTAGGTCAAATTCTGTATGAGTAATTGTAATCATCGTTGATCTGTTTTTTTTGGGGAGGGGGTCCGATCAAATAGCCGAATTAAGCGATTCTAAATGTTTATAAGAATTTTAGCTTCATAGTGGTTCAGCTCCTAGTCGATGTAAGACATTGAAGAAACAAATTACTTTTGTAAAAATCTCAGCGGTTGAACCATAAGTAAACCCAACTTTTCTCTCAGAGATCTTTTCCAGTCTTTTTACGTGACATATAATCAAAAATGAAATTTATCGAATATAAATAAATATATAGTGATCCAGTTAACTGTATATTACACAGATAATGGGATCATGTTGATAATGTTGAAAATAAGACTTACTTTAGCGCACATGAGGCATTCGATCCGAAAAGTGCAGGAAAATTTGTCAAGATAATGGTTGTGGGTATATGTTAGTTAATTTTATTTTTGATGAAATCAGATCATTTTCTAGATGATATGAGTCAAACGTCTCATGGCTTGTACAAATTGAAGATAAGTAAACAAATAAAACTTTGTATTGATCAAACTATTTGCTCATCATATATTCATATCTGTCAACTGATTGGAACAAGTGAAAATTATTCTTGTTGTTAATACAACAAGCGATTGATTAAATGTAATAAGGAGTTCAGATTTATTCACTGTGCCAGTGAAATCAGTTGTATTGCCGGACTCTATTTAGTGTAATACTATCGTTGACTTATTTTCTAGCCTTTTTTTTCAGATCATTTTATGGTTTAGAAAGGTGCTTCCAGCAAAGCTTGTGTTCCTTCACCCTCATATTCACCTCTTGTCATATCTCCTTACGTACAGAGCATTGCAATTACTATATTTAACCTCATATACACAGTTTTCTTGTTCCTGCCTTCGTACTGAATCTTTGATTCTTACTAGTTTAGAGATTAGAATATTTTTTGTTCGAAAGAATACTTGTAAATTTAAAGATTTAAGATTCCTTGCAACGAAATAACCCAGAAAAGGTCAATTGTGGTCAGCATATTCAATATCCATAGTGAATTTGTTGTTGTCAGATATATTGTTGACACTTTGAAGCTTTTTGTCTAATTCATTTAGTTTCATAATGATAAAAGCATCATCCACTGAGGGCGGCCGAACTGAAACATGGAATCACTCCACCTAGTCATTGATTGCTAGTCAGAGACCATTGGTAGATGTAGTCTAACTGATGATTATCATAATCTGTGGTTTTATGATGATGAGTAATATGGCTGTGAACTGGTCACAATGTCTCAGACACATTCACCATTTTTATTTTTCTAGATGTTGAGTTCCAGTGTTATTTTATTTAAATCATTTCATTCTAACATTTTGCAGTGTTTAACCTTGTTGACTATTATTATTATTATTATAACTCAATTATTATTCACTTTGTTAATTTCATTTCGTTGTGCACATGTGCTATAGCGTCTTGGGTTAACGCAGATTTGTTCTAAACAAACAATGATAACTTACAAACAACTGATTAACTTCGTTTTGATTTATTTTGAATGTGGAAATCAATTATCATACACAGTCTTATTCTTTACATTTGGATTGCAGTGCTTAAGTTCATAAATGCTTTCTTCGACTACTAAGAGTATTTTACGGTCAGTGTGTATGTGTAGTAGTACTAAGTAATAGTAACTCTAAAAAGCGGTTTCTTATTTCACTCATCGATAGACAATGCAGTTAGATCAACGTTAATCAGACGTATCAACAATGATAGCAGTTTATCAACTTCCAGTTACCGTAGACAATTCAAAATTTGGAATCGGTAAATTTAACTAATGAATCTCGAACAGTGCTAACATGCTTTTAGGATTTTACCACTACTTACTATCCCATAATTTCGTCAATTTTTGACTACAGATAATATCATGTCATTCTCTCAAGTGTGTTATTTGTTAACAGAGAATAATCAAGTACAAATTATAAATACGAACGGATGGAAAGTACGAAATGTTAAAAATAGTGATGGGTACTAATATTCGTGTACATTTGTACTTCTATTTACTGTGTCAGGTTAAAGCAACATCTTATTGGCATGGATTTGGTAATTTAGAATCTCAACCAAATACAATATTTCTTTCAACTCAATCCATTCATCCAGCATTTCATCAACAAATTGTTAGTCCAGTACAAATCTATACTACACCAAATACAAGTATGTCCATATGTAGTATAATGTGAAAACATGAAAATAATACATTTTATGATAAATATTTATATTCTCTTCTAATGATGACCGTGTTGAAAGTTCACGAGTATCCCTTGATAAAGTTCTTAGAGGTCCAGTTAAAAGGCTGAAGATGTTTTATCCAGTCAGCATTGAACAGAAGCTTATCAGAAACATCTAGAAAAGTAAAGGACTATGTATCAAGTTTCGATTAGATCATTACCCATATTGATACTGTATATGGCATGTTTCTAGAATTTTCTAGAAGTCCAAGTTCTTATAAAACCATATAATTACACTCGACTTCCTGTATATAGATTACCTTTGGAGTAAAACTCTCATTCATACTTTAGGCCTTTTCTTTAATGTTCAAGTTCGAGCTTAATAGCTTGGGGTTATAAGAAGCGTCTAGGAAGCCGGTAGCACGAGCTCGACCACAGATTTATCAAACAACAATTCGATACGCAAGGAAAATGATTATTTACTATCCAGTCTCAGATTCCAACAAGCTATTTTCGAAAAATTTACAATTGATTGATTGGAATTATTTTAAAGACAGTCTCATGCATTACGTAGATTATTGTTTCATTTTGTGATTGAATTAAAAGAGATTGGTTCTCCCACTGCAAATCATTTGTGTATATACAATTGATGGAGTTCAACTCTGGTAGTTTCTTTAAAAACTGTGGCATTGTGCAACACATCATAGGGTTTTACATGAGTTTGTGCTCATGTAGAAATAAATGAATACAACATAATAACTTGATACAATTCTTTGCACAAGGTTGTAAAATTCACTCATCAACCATGTTGTGCAGCAGCTTAAGATATGAAGGTTAAGTATGTACTTATGAACCAGTGTCTTAGAGTTAAGTGTTTAGAAAGTTGATCATTAGATTCACTGAACTTTGAGTGATCAAATCAGTTACAAAGTCGATTTAACATTCGCCTGTACTTTCAAGTATTATAACTTCTGGATTTATAGTTAATTCATATGTATACTTGTTCAAATGTCTGTTTCGAATTATTCTGTTTTAGTCAAATTACCAAAAGAGGTTACGTTGAAATCCAAATCATCCGACTGTGATTGTGGAAATGGTCCACAACCTTTAGTGTTGAAGAAAATATTTTATGAAAATCATAAGTTAAAGGCTATACTACAAATTAATATGAGTGAGTTTCTCTGTATTCTTTCACTTCGTTCACATTTTTCAGTGTGAGCACAAGTAGTTATCGCTTAGTCACATCTGTTGAGCAAGACTTGAGTAAAATCTAAACTCATCATATTGCCATAAAACCAAGTGTTTTACAGGGTTGTGGCTACTGTTAGATAATTAGGTTGATCAAGAATGAAGCATTCAATGATATACTTTACTAACAAACTGTTACATGTTTGTCCATCGTTTCTTTCTAATTTGACATAGCTATAAAGACGGAAAGTACAGCATTAATCCAGTGGTACCTACAAGCATGTGTTGATTCGAACAATCCTATATTGGATACATTACCTTCAACAATCTTATTAAAATCTAAAGTATGTTAAATCCAAATGTTAATTCACTGCTAGTGTTCATGTTTTAGAGTGTTTTTTGACATGGACTGTAATTGAATTCTTATATTCATTTTATTTCCTGTATGATGCAATATTTTAATTGAAATACATGACTATTCATTCACCACCAATCGACTAATGTTGGAAATGTAGTCTCAGAGTAATATGCTCACTGTGGAACTTGAATGTCACGAGCTTATTCCTTAACGAAGCAGTTGATGCTCACTATCAAACAGTTCTATACTAAGGTGAAATAGTTGTCCAATTTTATCGATTCAATTTATGAAAATCACTATCCACATTCATTTTAAATGAATGTCTTCTAGAAACCATGGGATGTTTTTTGAACTTGGGCAGATGTTAGACAATTTCAATGTCAAATCACGTTTAGTTTCTCATCATGGTTCTGCACTAATGAATATATGCATGGTTTATAACACTGAAACAATACTTATCGAGTAGTTCCATTACGTACTAACGAGATAATGTCACACTGATTATAAAATATTTTTGAGTAATTGGAAGAAAGAGAATGATAATAATCAATGTAACATCATATAATTATTACGTAACGCAACTACCCAACGAGTATTATGCTTCCACGTTTTCCATGAGTTCACTAGTTTAACTAATAAATTACTAAAAATCTCCACAAAACCCCCTTCTGATATTATACCTTTGAACAGAGCCATAGTGAAAAACTAATTTGAAAGAAATTCCTTCACTCTATTCGTTATTTTTAACGAAATGTCAAAATGGGAACTTTCACTGTACGTAGATGGCGGTATTTGCAACTGGAATTCAAGTAAAAATCATTTCAATTGATTTAACATGTAAACGGACAGAGATATAAAATTAAACTGTTTCAGAGGACATAGTACATAAATTGTTTTGAAACGATTACAATAATCCGGAAAATCGATCACCAAATAATAATTTCTAAGTAGTATGACTGGGATGTTTTTCGAAGGATGAATAGTGTATCGAAGAGCAATTGCAGTGCTAATACAGAATGCTCATATTTAGCTACAACTAGAGAAAGACTCGCTTTTTGGATGTACCTGCTTCACAGATTCAATGTCCACCATGTTTTCCTTACCAATATCGTGCACTTCAAATGCCGCAGCATTACTTACTTAGCGAATGAGTGAAGGTACATTCAGCTGATGATCTTAAAACAGGACGAAACGCGCACAACTAGCTACACTCGACTTTGCTAAGAAATGTCTGTTGATTAAAGGCAATATTGGGGCAAACCTCGTAGGAAGTACATAAACCAAAAGGGTCTGATCATGGTAAATAATGGTAAAATAATATAAGTACTAGCAAATGATTTCTTAAACAAAGCGTTATACTTACTAAGTCACATACTTTTGTAGTTTTTAATTCATCCACTATAAAAGAATTCTGGTCCGATTTCTTACAAGCAGGACAAAATGATGGCATCATAAAGAAGTGTTTGAATTTTATTGATAATACTAGCGAAGATTGAGTTGATGAGAAACTTTTCAAAGTATTTGTATGAAGGGGAAAATACGTTGGAGATATTGACAAGTAGTAGTAGATCCCTACTCTTAAAGATGTAATTCAAGAGGGAAGTGGCTAGCAAAGTCTTGAATGGTTGATGAACGAAGGGAGATCATAGGACATCCTTCGCAGCTAATTATGAATTGACATTTTCTGGTAGACAATGGATATCTGCTCAAACATAGGATAAGTCAACTAAGTCAGCCTTTTCGATGCCCATCAGCGAATTCAGTTATATCTGCGAGGTTGCTAAATTGAGTGTGTCATTAGGAAACTTAACCAATATTTGGATAAACATCTGTCAGTGTAGTTCAGAAAGGGAAAAGTTAGGGTAATACGCAACTCTATCTTGACACATCTGGTTGACAGGGGTCATATGGTAGATAAAGCCAAATCATTTAGAGTGATCCATCGTATACCTTCTTCATTTCCCAATGGCATTTGACCAACTCCCTAATTAGGGTTCGAACTTCTAACCCTAGTTTATTTGTTTAGAAGAAACTTGTGACACCCTTGTCTTTTCCTTGACCAGATTTGACTTAATTAGGGATTTTATCAGTTTTTCACATCCCGTACTTATTTGTCGCTCTTCTCTTCCCGTTTATACTCTCCATTATCTTATGTTTATACACTTATTACGTAATTTAAATACTGTTTTGTGTCTTTTACTTTAAAGTTTGTTTACCCAAGTCTGACCTACTTTCTATGTTGAACAAAGCTTATATTAATTTTACTACTCATATCAACACCAATACACCTGTCTTATTATCATTTTATCCGTTTTACTATTTTGTGTATTTATCCAGTCTATTTCATTATGACCATTGACTCATAAATCGTCTTGATTGGTTTAATATTTCCATCAAAATGTTCATGTATGTTAAAGTCGAATAACAACCTAATCTAAAGCACTACTTCATCAAGTGCAAATTGGTCATTTGTTAAGATCAAACAAATCTCGGAATATATCTATTCTAATATATTGTATGAAAAAATGTTTGTAGCTATATATTTCTTCTTTTAAAACTTGTTATAATTTTCATGTCATGGATTGAATTGTACCTAAACAAGCAGTTAAAATCAGTGAGCACTGTTAGATAGCTACTTCATTTTAATTCGGAACTGCTGAAAAGTGGGTATATACAATTGTGTCGTGGATCGAATCAAGGAATTCCTAGTTTCACGGTGAACATGATGCTACGTAGATCTTTGAATTGACAGGAAATTATCAGTATATGGGTTTGGAGATTGTTGAGTTTTTATTAAATCATGAATTGGTCAATGTTAGAATTACACTGAAAACCTGGAAGCACCGGACAGCTGTTTCGTTCTAGTGTGGGACTATTCAGTAGTGTGCATCCATGATAGCACACGAGGGATTCGAACCTAGGACCCTGGGTTTTACATAAGAAAGTTTAACCTTTAGACCATTAATCCAGCGTCCAAAGGTGTTAATGTCTGACTTCAAACAATCCACGATATTGAGTGACCGTCTTTCATTGTTTTCAGTAAGTAATTGCCTCACACCAGACACGGTTGAACTCCACCAGTCATAGACTCTCACTAGAACTCCCGGAAATCCATCTTGAAGCTAGTCACTAGTGAGCACATGATAATAATCAATATAGGGTTATGGAGATTGTTGAGTTTTGATTGAGATGATGAATATTAATCATGTTTGAGTGTGAATTAAAAGCTAAAATTCATTTTAAATTCACTTAGTGTTACTTGTTTGAATCTTCCCAGTGATGTTTAGGACTGCAATTGGTCAGTCTCTTATTGGCATATGTGCATAATGTGTGTATTGCCTCGACATCCAGCTGACGAGTCCCAAATAGGACGAAACGCGCGTCCTGGATTCCACTGCTAGCCACTATCCACCTTTGCTTACAATTCATTTTGTCACTAGAAAGCCATAATTAAAAATGTATTATAATAAATTATAAAATATAAATCATTTAATCTTTCTATTATTGGTGGCAACTGATTTGAAATTACTTCGGGATGAAATTTATCTTCAAATTAAGTCAATTAATTGTCCAGTCCTTTATCATAGACTATGTAATGTTCTTGTTTAATACAATTTGCTTTAATTGGTCAGAAATTTCATTGTATGATTCCTAAATCCTTGTCTCATTATATTGTTTCATCAACATTTAAGGGAATTTTCATAAAAATATTGTGATGACTGTAGAAAGTTGATTATAAGAGTAGTTAGTTAAATGAATCAGTATTCGTAGAAAACACAATCTGTTTTGAAGTACGGAAAATAGATCTTATACTTTAATGAAATTCATATATCATGTGAGACCAACACCTACATGTGGATCTGCACTTTCACAATGACTGATCCTTAAGTTTGATGATTTTGCTTAATTATTTAATGAAATGGGTCTGCAAACTATAAAACTCTCATTTGTATCAACCAAGTTAGTTGATATAGCATCATTTGGACCAACTTTGGAATATTCATATTATTTTTCAACAAACCTCTCTTGAATAGTTGTATTTCTGACTTTTCACAACTTCATGTAAGCCACTTCTTCAGAGTAGTCATTACCTTAGTTATAGATAGATCAAAGGTAACTTGCACAAAATTTTGACCATTGTTAAATAATAGTCCAGCTGATTAATATGAATTTTTGATAAGATTTATAAATGTTATTCAATATATAAGAACTTTCGTCTAAATTTGACCGAATAGTTTCACATTATGAACGTTGATTGGATGACCTTGGATTTACTTCAAATCTATTCGTCGAAATTTTACAAATACATTCTTCCGTCTCAATGTTATTCAACATCATTAATGTGAATAGCATTGTCAAAAATTGGAAATTGGTGTCTATTAGTTTCACCAAATTCATTGAAGTTCTTTATTTCTCGACATTATATGATAACTGAATAAATTGTAAATGATGGATTTGTATACCCTTTCCACTGAACTTGAAACAAACAAATATACATTTACTTAGTCACGTAGTGGGTTAATGTAGAAAATATATTCTACAAATTATTAAACCTGGAGCTAAACTTACATTCAAAAACATTTGATATACTTTCTACACATTTTTTGCTAGGATAAAATAGTCATATTAGAAAACCTTCATTTTAACTGTCATTATGGTGTACGAGTTCGTGTATATCCAGCAACTTTGGATGCAAAATATATAACTATGATAGAATCACTTGTTCATGTACAAAATCAGCAGTTTGATGGAATCGTTTATATCGGATGTTTTTGCACACCATCTTGTTCAAATGTTATAAATAAAGAAGGTCAGTTGCCAGATAATTGTATTTTACCAGGTGAGTTAATTTCAAGATTATTTTAGAATGAACAAAGTGGCTAGTCAAGTGTATATCATCAGTCTTAAATAAATCAAGAGTTATTTGATATGTAAGTGGTATTTGTTACTAATTGACCTAGGTCGAGGTACCATAGAAAACTAGGAAGCTTTAAACAACGGTTTCATGCTAGTATGTTATCGTCCATCCATACGTACCGATAAACCATTGAGGGATTGAACAAAACTCCTCTAAGTATCTGCGTGAGTTAAATTCCAATAAATGAGCTCCCAAGGTCCCAATGGAAAGTCGTGAATAGTGGGACCGATCAGTGATGAGTGATTATCAGTCATACCGGATAATCAACCTACTACATCATAACTTGATCGGAGTTGAAGACATGGACCATTAGTCTAAAATGACATGCCCAAAGTAGACTCGTATTTCGTGAGATATGCACTGTTTAGTAGTCCTGTGATAAGATGGATCAGATGTTCGATGTTCCCCAGTTAATGATGGTTTCCCAGATGATGTCAAACACCGGAGAAACTCTTCATATGAAAACTAAACTATTCAACACAAAGTCTTTCCCAACAACTTTACAAAGTATGGTAATGCTCTACATAATAAATAATTTAGCTAGAAATGTTGAATGAAACTTTATACAAATCTCGGCAATGAAACTATCTAGATAGGTGACCGGGCGATGTTTGTTGAATACGATAAAATATAAAGTTATGTAGGGTATTCGAAGATGCAAGTTCAATAAGTCACTGGCTACCGGCTAATATTAACCATCAAAAACGATTTAGGCCTATTGACTGAAGTCTTCTAAAATCTCAGTATAAGTAAGTATAGATCATGATTGACATGACTGAAGTAGTTAGTTTTCGGGAATAAAGATAGAATGTCGGTTAATTTATCGTAAACCCTGAAGAAAATATCTATATGAATTTTCAAGTTCCATTTTGAATTGGTTCGCTAATGAGGTTGACATTATTTACTTTTGTAAAAAGTTCTTATTGCTGACGCGTTCGATCTTGTCTAAGTCGTTATTTAAGCATGAACTGGGTGATAAGTATCAGACAAGTGAGACATAAAATCTTGAACTTATTCTCATCAAAGAGTTCGAAATCCACGCAAAAAAATAATAAACTATCTGTTGAGAAATAAAACACAAAGTGCGTTCTTTCATCTTTGTTGAAGTCGATGAATTAAGAGACTGTTAGTTTTGAGTACTAGTTTTTCGTTTATAGCTTTATGATTCACCTAAAACTTACCATATACGCACACAATATTTTAGATCTGGGATCGCCCTCTCCACCAACAAAAGTCCAAGTAATTCACATAGATAGTTTAAATTATCGAATATCATGGATAAAACCGATGACAACTATGGATAAAGTAACACGAGATGTGGACAAACACGCAAGTCTTTCTTCATCTGTTAATAAAATAAACAGAAATTCAACCAAATATCGAGTAATGTGGGCACCAAGAATTCATGAACCGGTGGATGAATCAATGTATAACGATGAAATCGGTTTCAGTCCGATAATGGATTTAAGACAGATTGATATCAAAGTGATAGACCAAGTAAGTAAAAGCTTTTTTCACTAACTGTTGTCATGTTATTATCAAGGCATTTTATTTGGTAAACTGTTGGATGTCAGCTAAGCTATAGCGTTGCAACTGATAATTTAGAATAAACTGTGTTTGACTAAGAAATAAGTTGAGGTAGTACATTATTTTAGACCTCCTAATTTTGAGCAAATAAACAGCACTGGTCAAACAGTAGAAATAAATGTCCTTTTGGCTGATTATTGTAATGTGGAAGAAATCGCGTGGACCAATAATTATACTATTAGACAGCATATTACTAGTTGCATGACACTTTATCGGTTCAACGCTTTCCATTAGTTACGTCAGCATACCTGAAACACAGGATATAAACTGGTGTACCTATATTTAAATGCGATACGCTATTGATTAATTAAATTTATGCTGGAGATCAGAATCTTTGATCTTGTCACTGTTGTTTCTTATCTAGCAGTAGTTGGGCTGCCGACCTCACCAACTGGGAACTTTTAGTTTTCCAATCATAATATCTAACTGTGATAGTATATAGCGACAAAAAGGTTAAATTCAACACCTATAAGAAATTAGTTACGATGAGCCGTGAATATGTTACGGATCACTTGATATTTCTGTGATATAAACATTCTAAAATGTTTCGAGAGGATTCCTATCAAAATTTGCCCGATTCAAATACACAAATGGTCTGCATAGGATTTATGCATATTTACATTTCAGATCACTGGATAAAACCAGCTGAGTAAAAAACGTCTTGCATTTATTTAAATCTGTTGCTTCGTGAACACTCATCACGTATCATACAATCAAACCAAAATCTTTGACCTGTAGCTGTTAGAGCAATACCTCCATGTTGTTGACAATCTATTCAGTGATCCATATTATCTAACATCAGTCCACTTTAAATTACTACTCACTTACTGTACACAGATTTTCTTGGACAAATGTATTTTAACCCTAATACTAACAACCAATGGGACATTAATCAATATCATTAAAAGTAATCTGAACTCATTATTTACATGTATACCTATGCTACAATAAATGATCATTGTATTAATCGACATATACTTTCGTATGTGAAATAGTAGATTCTTTTAAAAAAATGTAGAAAATATACCGTTGAAAAATCCAACATAAACCAAAATGTTCTATTAACAATTATTGAGGACGTGATCATACGGAATTGTACTAGAGATATATTTAAATAGGGATATTCATATATCCATTTTCAGTTATTGGCAAAGTTGCTTGTGGTGTGGCGTGTGCTATTGATGTCGACAGATATAAGTATTATGTATTGTCAATCGAAAATGCAATGACTGGAGGCAGAAGGTTAAGAAGATCGAAGAACAAGAACGAGAACAAAGAGTGACTGGTGTGGAAACGAAAGAACAATGAAGTGTGAGACAAGTGATTGGCATTTTACAAATTAAGTATTTACCGTATGGCGCCCAGATTTTTTAAAGATGTTCTGCAATTTTGTGTTTAAATACACTCGATTGTCCCCACTCGTGTTCACGTTCACTAAAATGGTATAGTGATTGTACGGAACACTAAATTCATGATAACTGTTCGTCATATGTAGGATTGATTATTTTTACTTGTTGTATAAGGGAATTTCTAGAATGTTAATTTCATTTTCCCACTTAGGATCAAACATGGATTGTATTAAACCAATTGAAACCCAACACACTTTATATTGTACATGTACAAACTTTGTTTATTTCATATAACGGTATGGAAAGGGAAAGTGATCCAGTCTCGGTTTACTTCACAACAATTTGTGATAAACAAATGAAAAGTTCTTATTCAGGTAAGTTCTATTTACTATTTATGTAGATGATAAGAAATGTCATGGGTGAGTTTTGTTTGACGATACTTTCACATACAGAATGACGTAAACTGAGAAAAGTTCATTTAAAACCAAGAGACATGGGGTACTTGTTCCATTATTAGCATTTGACTATTCAACAGTGTAAATAGATGACTATTAATCCATTTAGTGAGGTTAATTGATCATTGAACCAATGGTCACTAACGATTTATTTTTAAATGGATAATGTGGAATCCTAATAAGAATTTATCAATAATAAAGACAGTTAATTGGAAAATAGAGTAGAGGATAAATCTTATGTTTGTCAAGCGGCGTGAATTTCAAATTGTGAACCAGTGTATTTTGATTTAGCGGTTTTAAAATGTTCTAGGCGTCTTGAATGCCGGAAAACCGTAGACTTGCATGAAACAACTGTCTCCAACTTGCACCAACTATTTTCAAGGGAAACTCAACTTGAGAATGTTTGCGAAATTCTCTCGATTTGATAAGTAGGCATCGCGTATACATTACCTAGAGAGCAATTCCCTATCACCCAATTAGCTTTATACTTACATATGATTAACTGTTCTCATTGCACTTAAACAACAGTCTGACGATAAAAAAGTCCGAAGTCACTCACCACCCACAATTCAGTATTTACTCACTCAGTAGACAGTGGATTTCATCTAGAACGCCTTGATGTATTGATGTTAGTTGGTTAGACTTACTCAACAAGAATCCCTTCATGATTTTAGTTTCATTCTACTTTGACCTCGTGAGCAAGACTTATCTACAATCTTGTGGGAATCGACCCCGAGTTACTCAGGTCCCCAGACTGAGATGTTGCCACTCAGTGACTGAGAGAGTTACTGACCTGTAGGACTGAGATATTGACATCCATCTACTTCTGAGTAGTAACCAACGTAATGTCAATCTCATCCTCAGTGGTGATCGAATGCATCTTGTTCATCTGGCTAATAGGTATTGTTTCATTTTATGAAACCTGTTTATTCAAATGTTGGACATATTTGTCGGTATAGATGCTTGTTATTGATCTGGTCTTACGCTTTGCTTCATTGAGAAAAGAAACACAATAATTTGCATTTTGACGACAGTTTTCATTACATAAAGATTTGAAGTGCAGAGAATCAGTGGAAACTAGATGGTTACAGTGGGTTGTTTCTCATCCTGAATTGGGGTTGATCAACAGTATACAATCAAAAGGTCCTTATTGTCGAATACATCCAATTTACAATATATCCCGGTCATCGTTCGATGCCATCTGTGTTATCTATTTAATATCTGACATGGCTTTTATTTATGCGTGATGAATAACAACTCCATTAACTGTTTCACAGTATTCATTCAGTGAATTGATAGTCTAGTCAAATTCCTACCTTCCCAGATTTCCAGTCAAATCACTAGAAGACGAGATGAGTTGTCACAAGTATCCTTTATTCGTAATCGTATGTGTAAAATCCAAGGATACAATACAGTACGACTAATAAATATCGTTAAATACTTATTTAGAACATGTTAAAAAAGACTTTATGTTACTGATTTGTAGACAATTGACTGTGATTTCTGAAAGGTAAAAGACCTTTCAACAATTATTATAGAGAAAGATGGGTCATTATTGAGCCTGAATAAATATGTAAGAAAACAACTGATTATGAGACAGTCCTTTAAAACATAAATTCCATTAACATAAGTTTCAGACCTCTGTTTTCTTGCCCATTTCTACTCAGTGTAAATATCAAGATCAGGTCATCGTATTTTGTTTTCATGATCAGCACTTTCAAATCAAGCCAGTAGTATTTAGCATTACAGGTTTAGTTGTTAAATTAATTTTTAAACATATAGGTCTTTCAGTTATTACGTTTACTTTCTTTTTGAAATGTTTGTAGGTAAATACAGATCTCGGAATTTCGCTTCTCCGTGTCCGGCAGCAGTATTCACCCATGCTCAGTTCTTTATTATATTCTCACTTCTAGGCATTTATTTCTTGTAAATAGGAATAATTCATACTGCATTTATCACCATGGCAAAACTAGTATTGTAGACTATTCAGTGGATAATTTTTGTCTATTTTCAACACCATCGTTATGGTGAGTATTGAACATGCAGAATTTGTAAATATCGATGGTAAAAGCTTTTAGTTAGACTGACGAGGAATAAAATACCATTTGATTTTGTATTTGTAATTCATTTATTGTTAACTCATTGTACAGATTTAGGATTTGCATAAAGTATTTTCAAGTTTAAATTCAACTTAGTATTGTTTGTTTGAATCTTCCCATCGATTTGTTAGGACTGCAACTGGTCAGTCTCTAGTTTCAAGTTGTTCGTCGTTTTATTGAAGAAATGTAGTATCCTTAATCATTTGTGTTGAGAACGTGTATAGTGACTGATCAGTATTCGAACTGATTAAAATAAACTTTAAATAGTACGATAGTTTTTGTCGAATGGCTTAATGTATCATATGAGGAGTTGTGGTAAGACAGAACATTACATCGAGAAGCTAATTAATATCAAGATGCTGAGTATGACAGTTTTATGGGAAATCGGCGAAAAGTATTTCTAATAGCTAACGTGCGGATTGCATTCAGCAAGATATATCTGCAATCTTGTGGAAACTAATATTTTTAAAGGCAAGTATACTGGTGTAACCCAGTGTCAAAAAATGTCATCATATAGATCCTGATTAAAATCCGTTTCATATCATTCTATCTATCTATGCATAGGCCATGAGATTTATAGATTAATTTGATCTTTCATTGATACATCATCCAGTTCAGGGTATCGATTAATGGGTTGAGATATTATTTTTTATGGTGTTTATTTATCTGCTAAGATTTTAAAATCTTTGATTCGTTGAATTAACTGTTAGTAGAGATGGTTTAAATTATAAACTAATGATTATTAAGCACTGATTGTAGGGGAATCATCAGAAATTACACCCTAGCCTATTTTCTATCCCATTTGTTAATAATATTATTGATGAGTGGTTAAAAAATGATTACTATTGTTCGCAATAATTTTTCAGTTGGATACTAGTGATTGCAGTCACACTTTTCGGAATCTTCATTGTACGTTTGGTTAGTCGGCTACGCATAGAACATTGATAGTGAACAGGATACTCATTAAAAAAATTCATATCATCACATAAGTTTCTGCATCCCATATTGGTCATTTTCATCATTACTTGTAATTGTAGATAGGTGATATCATATAGATCATCCTTTCGACAAAGTAACAAGGTAGAACAAATGAAGGTTTACATTTTTATACTTGCATTGGTCAAGACTACTAATTGGTTTGAGGGATAAATTTTGTCATGCTTCTTAGTCGGTATTTCATGCTATTTACTCCCATAACTACATTGAACAGTACTCGAAATAAACATCTTTCAAAAACGTATAAATTAAACATGACAGTTGCGTTAAATGACACTTATTCGTAAGAAAATTATATGCTAAATTTAGCTTATAATTACCCGTGGTGTTATAAACGGTGTTTTAAAAACTATTGGCGCACAGATGTACTTTAGTGTATGGATCATATATGAAGAAAAGTATTTTCTCGAAAAAAATTTACCCGTATCGAAAGCTTAAGTTTCATTTTATTAGTGTGATTAAAGGCTTTCAAAATACTTGAAACTTTAAAATTGTAGGTAAGTGGTGAAACCATCAGAAGATTAACGATTATGCATCAGTCACTTAATTCAGTTAAGACTTAAATAATCAATGTCATACTAAGATCAAATAGATGTCTAATGTTTGCTGATTTTCACTGGTAGTTTAACTAAACTCAGTACCTAATGAAAAACTGTGAGATAACACGTTTGACACGGTTTCAACGTATGCTGTCCATCAAGCGATTAACATACTCCTAGGCAATATTTCGAAAATTTCTGAAGAGGATCATGATACTGGCAGTGTGAAGACAGAAATTATCAGGTAAATTGGTAGAAGAATATATTTTGTAGAACAAGGATATATCCGACACCAAAATGTGCTAAACTACATAATATTTTAGTGAATGTAATTGTAATAACTTGGATTTTATGTAAGAAACTATTACTCCACATGAATAACACCATCGTTCTAAAGAGTATGAAATTGTAATCAAATAAATAATACAATTTAATGAAGCATTGAGATAACCACCACGTCATTAGTATCATGAACTTTGTCAGCCTGACGAGTATCAAACAGGACGAAAACTGGGAACAGTACTTACAGACTGAACTGAAGTTAGCAATGTAATACTTTAGTTGATAAATCACATTAATAGGTAATTGAGAAACATCCGGTTTAAAATGCAACCTCGATGAAGGTAACAGTTTTCCTGAATAAGATTGATCTAATATCAGTCATAGTTTAAATCTATTAAATGTTTATTTGACTGGTATCACTTACAAACCATTTAAATCAAAGGAGCATAATTAAATCTGAATAGAAAATGTAAGATCTGTGATCATGATGAAAAATTAATTTCGTGATATTTCAGGCAAATCACTTTGATTTCTCTTCAAATCACTCTCACTCTAAGAATACATCTATATCATTTAAATTTTCATTGTTTTTTGCAAAATCTCTGAAAGTCATTGGAATTTGAGGTTTTGAGCTGTTTCAACTTGTCAGACAGATTTCATTTGCCAGTCGATCTCACCAAATTATATCCGTCACTAATCAGTCCAATAGTGGTCTATTCATCAGGAAGCAGATGCGATCAGACAAATTCTATGTTTGTATCAATAGTAGGGATTCAAAATTATCAGCCTCCTTACTGTTTTAGCTGAGTTGGTTGAAACACTTGGTCCGAATAAAGTGAGCTGTTTTCTTCAATACGTCACCTTCATGAATAGTTCACTACCTTTTATGAATTCCCTGATAATTTCTCCTGAATTCCACCAAAATCCCTAGTAGATAAGTTCATTTATTTATTGAATGAATCATGCACATAATTGAATCTTAATTTTGGTTCTACCAACACGTTTCATTTTCCAAATATGTTATCAGCTCACTTCTCTACTGCTCTTCTCCCTTCCCATTCCTCATAGATATTATTCTGTTCATACTTCACACACACACACACATCAGTAACATTACACTTTCCAGTTAACTACACAAACCAGATAAATGGTTAAGTGTCACACATATCATTACTAATGATAACAGTAGTAAAAGTATCTTAGAATTAATAATAGAATGACGACCATTTTTTTATTGATAAATTGTTTGTTTAAAATGTGACAATTGAAACAAATAAATAAATAGATTTGTGCACACAATCATAAATCACCGACACACACAAATCATATATGGTTCAATGTCGGTATAATTAAAATGCTGGTGTAAACAGGTGTCATATACTTCAATGATTTAGTAACACGATAACTTGATTTCCAACTGCGATGTGTAAAAAATAACTATTTTATAAAACTGTCAATTCAATGCGGTTGCACCCTTCAAAGTCTCTTTATACAGTCTTACAATATTTTGCATTGAATAAATATGAAATGTATGTTTTCGTTCAACCCAGCAACAGCTCATACTTTTTATTCTGTTTCCTTACAATATGAATAAACAAAAAGTGAGTACACAATAAAAGGGTCATAGTTAAGTTGTATGAAAAAAAAGAAAAACTAATGATTAGTTACTGTTTATGTGTAATAAATAATTCAAACAATATAGTTTCTCACACTGAACTTGCAACTGTTAGATAATCATTAAAAATTCAGAAATTACTGGTCCTAGTTTGCAGCCTATAGTCACTGATCATTCACAAAAACATAGGAGACAGGATCTGGTGTCTTCGCGCCTCACAACGAGCATTCAATCTTCAGACTACTAATTTGTCATCCAATGGTTAGGGTTAGTTGTCAGTATAAACGTTCATGATCCTTATTCTAAACAGTCTAAATCATGCTTTTTACAAAGAAATAATTCTGTAATTAGTTGTTTCTCAGAGAGGACCATCCTACCAAATGACTGGGTTAAGATCTCATAGTCTGTACTTTTTTATGTTATTTGAATCACGATCTGATTTAGCGGTTACTTAGTGATAGATTTTGTTGGTACATGATAAAATCTGATTTCGGAACAGGATGATTACTGTGAATCTTTCATTCTAATAGTAATTACCGTGTGCTAATTAGGTATTAATTTTGAAATGAAGTTCTAGTAGGAATCAACCAAGTTATCACTTATATGATACCATTCAATAACAATTTTATAATATTGTAAATTGAATTTAATTAAAAACGGTGAACTATTCAGTCGTCACTGAATGGTCTACGGACATCAAAATCATTGTGAGACAGGAAGTTGTTAGATTCACTGATGTGTTCGATAATGGATGGGCACTCCTAAAGAGCTTTCAATTTTCAATCAGTTGATTTTAGTCTGTGGTTAAAAAACTAGCTAGAAGATGATATGTGTTACACTTAGACTCTCAGACACCGACTTCCAAACCGTTTCCTAGTCTCCAGAAATCTCCTACTCTTGAACTCAGAAAGTATGAAAGGAAGCTTTTCTTCGAAGACAAGTTAATGAACAGAAAACAAGGGTATTTATTTAATATTATACACTTGAAAAACACGCCAAGTTGGCAACGAATTCGATAATTGTTTAATCGGCACGCTGAAAGATTGGTGAGTCATTTTCGAGAATTCTCTTGAAGTCTCCAAAGAAGGTTAATTGGTCAGTGTATTCTCAAGACATTTTGCTTCTGAAAACTCTGTTCAAGAATTTTCTAGAACTCTTAACATAAAGTTGTCTGTACAATGAAAAATAGTGATATTGATGAGCTTCCAAATATTGAATGAACTATTAACTTGTTCAGTATATCAGGTACTGAATGGAAGTAGCATTTAACTGCAGTTCATCTATATGACAATGAGACTTTTGGGTCAAGGAGAGAGTGTGTGTTAGTATCTGAGTAAACTATTCTTTCCTTTGGGCTTCATGTACACAGCACAGTAAATTCACATTAGATGTGACAAAA